CTCTTCATATCCAGGACCTCCATGGTGTTTCTGGGCTGTTGGGCCCAGGCTGAGATGCGAGCTCAAAATCCAATTTTGGAGGGAAAGCAATTCCTTATTTAAAACCACATTTACTCCCTTTGCATGAGGCCTGAAGAGGGGTAATAATATATAGCAGCGTGTGGTAGACATGGTGAGAAACTATAATAGTTTCTCTATATTCAACTGACATGTCGATAGAAGCAAGTCGTATCCTTATTAATTTTGACCAATGTGTGTTGTCCTTGATCATGATACAGCAGATTATTCCTGCAGGTGCTCAGATGTGGCACCGCTGCATCGTAGCTGCCCACGGACGAAGAATCGCGTACTGTTCGACCCTGAGCATCTACCTATATCGTCTCACAACAAATCCGGAGGTTTTCGTGCTAGAGAGGATCATTGCCCATCACAAAGATAGCATCACAGCCATCGCATGGTGAATCTTGAAACCGAAAGCCCATCGAGTCTGAAGACGAAAGGTCACCTTTTGATCCCTCTCTGTTGGTGTCCACCAGCTTAGAGAAAATCATCTGTATCTGGAATGTAGATACAGAGACATTGACCCACACCGTCAGCTGTTCGAACGTCATCCTGTGGATGGAATGGAGTAGCCACAAGGAGAACATCCTCGCCCTCTCGGACGACAGAGGCGTCATCAAGATGTGGAACATCGAAACCAAATCAGAGAAGAAACTGGGTTCATACGGACAGAGCAACGGAGGACAAGTCCTTCGATGGAATCCAAGAGTGGTACGTCCACGTTTCACGTACATGCAACACATCTCACACTATGCAGTCCAGCCGTCTGGCATCTGGCGATCGAGCCGGCAACCTGATCCTCTTCGACATGAAGAAGAACACGAACAAAACGTTTCGTCCGTCCGATGATGACAACGATGGGATCTGTCAATTGCAATGGGATCCACTGGGAGAGACTTACGTCATCGTGGCCTACCAGAGTGGAAAGATATTACTCTTCGACACGCAATCCGGGTCGGTGGCTCAGACGTACGAATCACAGGGGCAAGTCATCGGTTTGTACTGGATCACAAATAGCCCCGGTACGTTCTTCACTGCAGACAGTAAGAGCGGGAGCATTCACATGTGGAATGTTTCCATGCCGAGACCGACCCAAACTGTGAAGATGAGGAAGGTCCCTTGCACGAGGATATTGTTCATACAATCGACGTCGAATCTATTCTGTACCTTTCAAGATGGATGCGTGGGGGTGAGATCTCTCATGAGAATGGAGTTTATCATCAAATCTTTTTGTCACGATCATCCAATCATCACGATGATCATGATCATATCATGATCAGACGACCACCAAACTGATCACACGATAAGGTGTACAATCTCGACAAGAGACGATGGGACTTTCTATCTCAGGCGGCTCACTCCGAGACCATCTTCGATTGTCAGTTCAACCCGAAAGATCCCAACACACTGGCCACCTCTTCGTTCGATGGTTCGGTCAAACTGTGGGACCTGTCTCAGATGAAATGCATCGACACGCTGCAAGGAAACGAGGGAGTCGTCTACAGCTGCTCGTGGTCCAATTCTGGTGATCGAATCGTGGCCGGTACTTCGAGAGGAAAGACTCTCTTGTGGGATACGACGCGGGGTGTACTGCAAGAGAAGTTGTCTCTCAATACGCTTCACATCTACAAGGTGGCTTGGAATCGAAACGATGACGATCTCATCGCAACGTGTTCGAAAGACGGATTGTGGTGAGTCTCCTCATCGTCGACATCACATCACATCACCATCATCATCACACATTGTATATCTCATCGCGATCACCTCATCATCATCCACCTCGGTCATCATCACGATCTGACCATCACGCAGCATCATTCTCAACGGCAGTGGAACGGTCATCCGCAGGTACAAACACCCCAGAGCCGCCTCCGGCTGCGATTGGGCACCCAACGACAAGAGTCTCCTCGTCACCGGATGTCAAGACGGTCTCTGCCGCATCTGGGACGTCTCCCAGGGCAACGACTCTCCCATCGTGGAGTTGAAGGGACACAGAGCGAGAGTCTTCAACTGCGTGTGGTCCCCCATGCTGCCCGGCGTTTTCGCTTCTGGATCAGACGACACGACACTCCGAATCTGGAGCATCAACGAGACTTCGAATCCACTCGATGTGACGAAAGTCTTAACGGGTCACACGCAAAACGTGAGGGCCATCACATGGAGCACAGAGATCCCCTGGCTCGTCATCTCTGGTAGCTGGGACGCTTCGATCAGGTTGTGGGACGTCAGGAGTGGTAAATGCATTCGCATCGTCAAGAGCCACCATGCAGACGTCTACGGTTTAAGCTCCCACCGGGCCAGGCCGTTCGTGTTCGCTTCCACTTCGAGGGATACGACGGTCAGGATGTGGAGTCTCGAAGACGAAGAGTTTGTGGCTCACCCTCGCCTGACGGCTCTGGTGCAGATGTCCTTGACGAATCTCGTTCAGACGGTGGAGAGGGCCATGGTGGTGAACGCGCCTCACGGGTTGTGTGGGCCCGCTTCGGACAAGTTGAATCAAGATCTGATGAGAGCTCCTTCGCCGTTGGTGAAGGCACAATTGTTGGCCGATTTCTTCTGCGTGAGTCGATTTGATCCTTGTTGGTTTAATTCATGATGAATCATCTTTCGTCTCTTCTTAAGATTCTATTTCTTTTTCTCTTCTCTACGTTATCTCATACTTTCATAGAGACCAGAAGGCCTCAGAGATCTATTCCAATTGTTAAATGAGAGACCGAACAGTGCACAACCGTGGAAAGGAGTGATACCCCTCAACCAACTCGTGCAACAAACAAGGGTGAATCCATTTCATCCATCACCATCTGAATCGTACCACAGAGAAGAGCGAGAGAACTAGAAGCCGTGAAACACTCGAAGAACGTTGCCCAATCTGCCAACCGAGGAGAAAAGTGAGGACACCGTATGTCAAGTTTGATATCGAATGATAATCATATATAAACGAAGAAAATTAACCCTTGAAATAGATTGAGGGAAGCCAGCGAACTCTACCTCCGGCTCGGTATGATGAGAGAATACTGCGACACGTTGGTCGACGCCGGTGAATGGGAGAGAGCTATCGCCGTAGCCCCTGCCGTCTCCATGGACTATTGGAGATCCTTATCTTCCTCTTACGCCAACCACCTCGTAACGAAGCAGACGGAGCTAGCCAACGTGGCCGAGCCCTTCTTGATGGCCTCGAATAGCGTGGACAGATTGATCGAGTACTATCAAGAGAGGAATCTATTGGACGAAGCCGTCCTAGTGTCGAAGGTGGATGCGGAGGGGGGATACAGCTCGTTTCAAAAAGCATTGTACGTGGACGTTGGTGAGGCCACTGATCATCCAGAAGGCCAAGAGATGAAAGACGTAAGTTGACAGATACGATAACTCTCATCGATTCCCGTGTTATCGTTTCATGATTCATTATACATCACCAAACATTCAATGCAATATCCGCATTTGTACCATAAATTTACAAGATACTCAATTGAAAACAGAACAAAGTCAGGCTGATGATCGGCGTCAAATCCGATTTCCTCTTCCGCTGTGGGTCTCCCATCGCCGCGGCCTCGTGCCACTTGAGCATGGACGACAGACAAGGAGCGATGCAGAAACTGATGAAGGGAAACGAGATCGAATTAGCTTATCTCTTATCTCGCTCCCTCAAGATCCATCCATCCGATCACATCGTCGAATCATTCGCCTTCCGCTGCGAGACCTTTCATGAATGGTGAGTTATCGTCGATTTGATGATGTCGTCGTTGATGTGATCAGGAATCTGGCAGCAGAGGTGACGAGGGGAATGAGAAAGATGTCAAACATGAGCACGCTCGTATTGAGAGCTACTCGTGCGAATTCCACGGATGTGGCTACGATCAGATCGAAGGTGACTGGATGATCCAAGTTTATTCAGCTGATCGGTGCAGGCCAACATGAGAGCACCTTCAGCTTATCAAGAAGAAGCGGAGGGCCATCGAACGAGGGGAAATGTGGAAGAGTGCATACGCTGTTATCTCTTGAGCGGAGAGAACGAACGAGCGGCTCAGTACGGTTTAGAGCAGTTGAATTCTATCTTCGGTAAAGATAGCTGGGACTTCACCTTGGCTGCCAACGTAATTAATCTGCTGGCCGAAGCTCAATTGAAGCTGATCACTGAAAGGTAATGTTGGTAGCTGAATGGGAACGTTGATTGAGAGATTCTCAGCGTTCGAAAACCGATCGTGGCTTATTCTTATCTGGTGGCCGCTCAGTTATCGATATGGAAGAATTATTATCCCATCGTACTCTATGCGGTGGATAAGACGAGGTCATCGACCGCTCGTCCAATAGTTTAATTGATATAGAATAGGACTCTGTTCGCGGAGATGGGCAACACACAGATTGCCACGTTTATCGATTTACAATACATGACGTACATGTTACACAGAGAACCTGAAAAGACAAGCCGGTACATCGAACAGCACCAGCCAACGGACACAAAATTCATTCAAACAGTAGAATTATATTCAAATCATCTTAAGAATCAGAGTGAGAGTGTATTCACATCTCAACGAGAGAGACTGACCGACCACAGATTCTGCACCAACAACCAAAGAGACAAATTTAAATCACACATATAACGAAGTGGTAGCGTTCTCATCTACTCTCCCATTAAGCCGAGAGAAGACCATCAGCAGCTTGATATCGAAGCTGCCCATTCACGGACAAGAATACGTGTTGGAGGATAAGGAAACCACCATCACACTGTCAGAAGCTATCATGTGGCATAAGGTCAGCCATCTATCACCTCTTGGTACTGGCAGCACCTTCAACCCATTTTAATGAATGAACCTTCTTTTAGGCGTTGTGGTTAATGTCCTTCGGTGTTTTCCAAGTTGTATTATTTATAATACAACTATGCAGTTTTACAAACCCAAGATTTTGTCTGGTATACCCATAAAATTGCGAGCGATTCGTCATCAGCTCGATTAGCTCAGTTGGTTAGAGCACCGTGCTAATACACGTTCCACGACACGCGGGGGTCGCAGGTTCGATCCCTGCATTGAGCATCACCTTTTACTTTTTGTTCAGAACATTCTTCACGGGTGGTACGAACACGCATGTTTCTCAGTGTGGATTGGGTGTTCCCTTTACAGGTACCATGCTTAGCCCAGAACTCTATGTTCAGTCGAACCACCTTCTCACGATTGTTTGAGACAGCATTAAAGAAGAAGAGACGATTTCGACTCAGCCCTTGGGGCCGTATCCGAGCTGTTCACGGTGAATCGGACGCGTATTTCCCGATTCGGCGTCCTACCTGATAGAAATCGGGTCCATCAGAAATACCAACAGGAGCTCGTTATTGCCATGTCCAGATCTCCTATTCTCAACTCAAGTTGGCTGCGTAAAATGTGACATTCTAAAGGTAAAGCGTAGTTGAGACGAAGAGGAGAATTCGACTTTCAAAAACTTCTCACACGATCAACAGAGACAACACTTCATTCATCATCCTCCAACCCCGACGACTCTTCCTCGCTGCTCTCCTCCTTCTTCTTCTTCCCCTTGGTCACCTTCACCACCCTCGCCTCCTCTTCACTCGACGACTGATACTCTCCCTCCTCCTCACTCTCTTCCTTCCTTCCCTTCGTCACCCTCTTCCCTCCCCTTCCCCTTCCCCTCGTGGACCTTCCCCTCTTGGAGGTGTTCTTCTTCCTCTCTTCCGATGCAATGGTCGTTCCTTCTTGTTGTTGTGCGTCTTCGAGGGATAAGTTGTTGCTTAACTCGTTGACGGCCGCCTTCATTTCGGACCTTCCGTTCTTCTTACACTAGAGGGATTCAGTCGTTATCTATTATCTATATCGATTCACTATCTATGTGCATGATCTCTATCGTATGTCGTGACGTGTCTATCGATAGGCCATTTGATTGAACGTCCTCTACCTTGGCTACAATACTGGCGATGGAATTCTGAACGTCTGGATCACTCATACTCTCCCGTATGACTTTACTGTTCTCCACCAACTTCTTGACGGCCTTCTCGTTCAGATTGAGCAGCGTCATGCAGTGGAAGATGTGACTCCTCTGTTCTTCCTCACTCGCCTTCACCCTCTGGCACAGCTTATCCACCAGGTTCTCCGTGTGCTTGTCCTTCTTGATGAAAGAGAAGAGGTACTTCATGATGCTGCGGAAGCTGTCTCCACTCTGGGAGCTGCTGAGGTTGCTGATGAGATCAGGGAGGACGTTGTAGATGGAATTTCCCTTCTTGGAGTACTCCATGAAGAACAACTTGGATAGATCAACGATCCTCTCTTCTGGATCTTCCAAGCAGACGGCCATGTCTGAGATCTGTCCCTTCACTTTGATCATATCGTTGAGGATGAGGTGGGTGAGTACCATCAGTGTGTTCTTTCGTACGCCTACGTCTTCGTCTTTCAGTTGTCGGTAGAAGATCTTCGTCCATGGTTCCATCAGGTTGGGGAATCGAATGGCGATGTCTCCTGTGGGATATCTCAGAGGATCGAATCGTCACTCTATACATGTATATCGTTCACATCGTTGAATGAATCATGAAATGAAATGCATGATATACATCTACAGTTGTGGAATGGAGATGTAGAAAGGTATAGAATCAGAAGATCACACTCACCCAATGAGATGATGATGTTGGCTCTGATCGTGGGCTCAGGAGCGTTTGCCAATATAGTGAACAAGAGTTGGATGTGTCGATCACAGTACTCCGAGTGGACGCACATGTACTTGCACAGTGCCATGACTGCACAAGAGCGTAGTGAAGGCTCGTTGAAATTCCCTCCCGCGTTGGCTGCCACCATGGAAATCAATGGACCGAAGGAGCCCAGTAGATTCTTCCCGATGACTTCCCTCTCTGCTGTCTCTTGCAGCCTCTCCACTTCTCTCTCTTCTTCTGCCGCGTGCACTCCCAGTTCTTCTTCGATGGCACTCGTTGATTCTTTCTCCTGATTTAAATCGGTATCGATGATAGTTGATGTGATGTTGAATGATGATGTGATGGATGTTGATTGATGCGATGATGTGATGGATGTTGATGATGTGATGATGTCTAACCTTCTTCTCTCTTATGTTTCCACGTCTCGTCCTCAATTCACTCTGTATCTCTTCGATGTAAACCAATTGTTTCAGAGCGATATGACCCAAGACGAACAAGAATCTGCCCAATGACTTCTGCGAGCACTCTCGCACTTCTTCACTCCCTGTCCCTCCTCAACAATAAAATCAAATAAAATGACCTCACCTTTGAGATCGAATATCTTGGCCGCCATATCCCTCACGATATCAGCTGCCAGCGTATCGGGTCTCTCGCTGAGACTGTATATCGTATTGATCGCTTGCTCTGCGAATCCGTACCAATTGTTGTGTTGCATGTGATCGTCGTTCATCAGATCGGCCAGACGAGTGAAGAGAGGATGGGTCATCTTCATTCGGCTGAAAGACTTCTTTCCTTCCTTCTCTCCCTTCGATATCTTCTGCAACGTGATGCAAGTGTACTTTCCGATCTCATCCTCCACCTATCTGTAATCAGAACAGAATGACATCGACGATGTGACATCGTCACATCAGGATGACATCGATGATTCGATTCACCTTACACCTCGGCCCCAGACCGATGGAAACGAGAGTGTTGAGTCGACCGGACACTGATGCCGCATCGGCAGCGGCGATCATGCTGATGACAACGAGGGCGCTCGTGCTGTCAGCCTTCGATTCGTGGTTCTTCATGACGAAGAGGTCCCAGAGACATTGGACCACACGCTGACTGATGAGCTTGCCCTCGGTCATTCGGGCTACCATCTCCTCCATGCAAGTCAGCTCGCCCAGAGTGCACCCTTCTGTGAGGCTGTGGGGAGAGTGAGTCACATCGTGTGAGGGGATGATACAATACCGGATGAGGTTCTTCGCGGTGACGTCGGCTTTTTCTTTGATGTACAATTGCCTGCAGGCTTGGATGACTTTCTCTTTGATTCCAGCTTCTGATGACCATACAAGGGACATCATCTTACGAACGCCGGACTGTTTCATCGTTCACAAGTGATCGCACGTATCAATGAGTAGATTATAAAGCATGATATATGATAACGATATATATGTGAAGAAGATAGAGAGGGGAGACACACCGTTGCCTTCTGAATCTTGAAATCGTGACACGTGACGAAGAACTGGATGGCATCTTGGATCTCAGTCGAATTCTTCGAAGATAAGATCTGTGCGATGACCGGGGTCACAGCGTGAATCTTCTCCACGAACGTGATGATGTCCTCCAGCTTCTTCAAATTGACAGAGACGATCTCCTGTACTACGATGAACCTCTCTGTCTCGTATTCCATCTCACTTGGTTGTCATCATCTCCTGTCATGGCTGCCTTCTGTTCAAAGTCTCAGTCTTTGTTCGTCTCTGCAAGGACGTCACCTTCTTCTGCTCCTCTTCGTATCGAGTGACGAGGGCGGCGAGACGTAATTGGGGTGAGTATGGATTGTATGCGATGATGCAGATCAGCAGTTGGATAGCGCTTCTCCTCGTGTGTAACGTCGTGTCTTGTACACGACCAATGGCGATATCTAACACTCTCTCCATCCTCTCCACTGGAACTTTCCTCTCTCTGTACCACGTCAGCCCGGAAATAAGATAAAGTCGAATCTGTTTCGACTCACTGGATCAATTGTTCCCACACGTGCAGAGCTTTCGAGCGAGTGAAAGACTTAACGTCCCTCGTTCTCTCTTCCAAGATGTCCATGAGAGAGTCCGCAGCATCAAGGTGATCTCCTTCGTTCAGATATTTACAGATGATGTTGCCTAGGACTTGAATGATACCGCTCCTCATGATGTAAGCCTCTCCGTCCAAATGGGATATGACCAGAGAGATGTTCTGATACACTTGCTTGGGCATCCTCTCACTGCATTCCACGAGAAAGGCGGCGATGTTCTTCGAGCCGTTCGCGTCCCTCTCCAAGTCCTTCGACGAGATGCGAGAGATCTCTCTGATGATGATGGTGCACAAAGAGTTGTCGTGGGATTCGTGGTAGATGTGCTCGATCATCTCGGCTGCCGGTCCAGGCATGTAATCGTACTTGTTGATCATCTCGATCATAGAGTTGGCCACATGTGCGCTCTGTCCGTACCTTCCGATGAGGGTGGAGAAGAGAGTGTTGAGGGACAGACGGATGGATTTGGTTTTGACCGAGGAATCCTCCATGAAGAGATATCCGATCTTGGGCACTAGGAGGAGAAACGATTCCTCAGGTACATCGTGTCGCCACAGGTTGTGAACTTTGAGATCCAAGATGGAGATGAGAGTGGCCAGGATGCTTTCCTTCTGTCCTTCGGTCTCCCAACTTCTTCCTTGTTCCGGAGCCTCTTTCGACTTTGGTCCTCTCTGTGTGGTGTGAACATGATGAGATGGGACGTGAAGAGATGAGAATACCTTCTTCTTTAGAGCACCTGCAGCGGTGGATGGCAGTTTTTTCGCAGACGTGAGGAACCAGTGTAAGAAGAAGACGTACATCTTGAGTGCATTACGGAGGGTGTCGCAGTCTCCTGCGTCCTTTTCTCTCTCGGCCACTTTGTTGGCCTCTAATGTTGACTTAGTGCTCGAAAAGAGGAGGTTGTATAATCGTTCCAACACATCGGGATATTGAGCGACATCGGTGAGTTTACTGTGTGAACATCAGACGGTGACAATTGGATCATGGTGGATCACACCTCAGCAGACTCCATAATGGATCAAACTGTTCATGATCTGTGATGGAGAGTGCTGCCTCCTTTTTTAATTTCAGTGCCAATTGATCAATCAGCTTGTTCATCTGTCCTTCACTCATACCCTCTACTCTCGTTTCTTTCGTGACATGGTATTCATGTTTCGTCGAATGTGTCGATAGATCCTCTGGACGAAGAGGTATCTCGAACTCGATCATGTTGATTGTTGTCCTCCTCTGTTACACGATATGTTTGAGCGGAAATTTGGCGGGAAAAGAAAAAAAGAGAATTTCTCGGAGATCATCAGATCACATCACATCGTCCAATCATGCAGAAGTCCTTC